CGCAAAAACACCGTCCTCACCTGGACAACGGTGTTCTTTGTTCCTTTCAAACGTGGTACCTGTGATAGGTATCAGAGTGCTCTGTTCAATGGCGTTTTCAGAATTGGAGACACCCTCAAGTCTTCGCTTTGGGGTCCCTTTTTCTGACCTTGCATGAAGACGCTGTCCTTCGGCCATGGGTGCATTGACTTTATGACCACGTTGTGAAGTCTTTCCAAGCTTGGGTGGAGAGACTTGCGTATCAAGAAACCTTTTCACATTGCACTCATCGTTCAACAGTACCTGTATCTCTGCTAGTGTATTACTGGCCGAGCCAGGGCCGTTTGATAATTGTCGAATTCTGTTTAGCAAGGCGCGCGATTCATTTCTAACCTCTTCCAAATGAGAATCACGAACTGCCCGATTACTTCGCGTGTTCACACTACTGCAAAAAGGTCCTTTGAGGTTATCACTGGCCTGACTAGGCGCAATTCGGTCAAGAAACCTAAAATCCATTGGCCATAATCCAGACACATAAAATCCCTTCCGGGCAGTCTCTGGAGTCAACGCGCGATAACCCGCCACAGCGAGCTTTATCTTAAAAGCAGAGTTTGCCCACGTCATTTGGCTGATCATCAGGAGCTCATCCCGTGTAGACCGAACTGTTCTTTGAAAAATTCTATTCACAGACTGGTCGTACGGCTGCAACAGATGGGTTGTATTAGCAGGCAACTTGACCACTAAAATTCGAAGCTTCTGGCATTCTTCGAGCCATACATCGCCTTGTCTAGAACTTTTTACGTCCAATAGGAGAAGGATATGCTCATGGTACTGTTTTACGCGCATGTCGATTGATATGATGAATAACTTTGACAATTATGGCCTTGACGATTGAGCCGTGTGGTGTAACAACAATCTCTGCGTCATGAGGAAACCAGTTTTCGTTGCACAACTAGTGTACTACGCCATTTGCATTAGTTAAGTCCTCCCTATCGAGAGGCTTAAGCCATGATTTCATCACTTTCTTACCAGAGGCTATCAAAAAAGGGGCGCTATGTTGCCACATGCTGCAACAGGAAGTCCTGCTGTCAAGTGCTTACCGGGATCTCTAATGCCCAACCGAGCACCGCACTGCTTTCTACTGGACGAGGTGAAGCACCTGAATTTACGACCGTACTCACCACATACAGCGGTTTCATCCCAGTTCCATATTTTTGAGGGTCTCTGAGGACCTCTGGGAACTCTTTCTGAAGTTTCAAAATAACATCTTTCAGACTGCCCATATGTGTTGGATTCTCTTCAGCGAACCTTGCCATGGAAACGTTCTGGGATGTCCTATAGGCCAATTATATATGTCGTGCTCTGAATGAGCGTATGGCGTCGGAGGATGGGACGCAGTTGGTGAATGCATTTTCTCTTCCCGCCGCTATCTTGCCCTGAATACTCTTCACTAGAGAGCAGTCAACGGCAAAACCTTTCTCAGCTGCTTCGAGAGTCTTGTGAACGACAAGAATCTGTTCATCATTTGTGAGAACTGTGCAACGGCCGGCAAAGTGTTTTTCCGGATCGAGTAGTTTTGAGAGCTGTCGCGTGTCTCCATATATGATAGGCTTTCGAATATTATACACTGTCTTGCGAGTGACACCCTTCGGGTGGACACTTCCCTTAGAGAGATGCCGCGCCGCAGATGCTGTAATGCTTTTTCCCGTCTGATACGCTCGTCTTTTCTTTTAGCAAGCCTTTTGTTATGTGCGATAGTTTGAGCCCGCATAGAGCTCGGCATGTTCCCACCACCGATCAGGAAGACCGTCTACGGAAGCATGAGGGAGTCGGGAGAGGGGCGGTAGGCATTGAAGGAGGGGGGGAGGGGTGTGTGAGAGAGATAAAGAGGTTCGAGGGCGTGGTACTCAAAAATAGATTGTCCAGAATTGACCTTCCAGAATTAGACCAGTGAGAACGGTACTGTATGCCAGCAATGTGAGTATTGATGGTGTCCCTATACTTTTTTTCGGCACTGTACAGTATCTGCAACCCGATCGCGTGAGAAATACATTGAAAACGGCACTAGTGTCTAGGTGACAAATGACCTCATATGAGGCCAGTTTTTAGGCGGGCTTTTGCAATTCGAATAATTGTAGAAGTTTATCGCTACTGTTGTGAAAAGCTTACGACTAGAGTACTAATCGTTGGCAAACCAGAAAACATTCAATTCCATATCTCAGTCTTCCCTAATCAACACTTTCGTCTTCCTCTTCCCTAAATTTCTTCAAAATGGTGAGCGTCAATGATCCTCGAATTATTGCAAGTAACCGCGTCCACACTCGTGCAAGACTGCTCGCAGCTCAGAGTAAATGTAGTCGCATGTATGGAGCCGCCTGGAAGATCAAGTTGATCACGGGACCTGTCATTGGCATGAAAACTGACAAAGTGAAGGGTCGCAGTGTCACTTCAGTCAGGGCTAAATGGGAATTATCAGATGGCGTCAAGGAAGTCACGCTACGCATAGCTAACATCAAGGCTGGTGAAGTGATGGACCTGATCGATGACGACCCTGAAGATCATATCCATCAAGAAACTGAACATTATGCGCGATCGGAGCCTACAGAGGACCGCGTGAAGCCACTGGAAGGAGCACTCAGCCCGAGTACGAGGATCTCCGAGAGTGACGAAATTTGATTCCCAAGATGGCCTTATGAATGTCCACGGCCGGGCCTGGAAGCGTGAGGAAGCCACGATGCATTTAAATGGTATGATACCGCCGAGAAGATGGAAGGTGATTGGACCGATTGATGAGATTATATCCCGTGGTCACAGTCCATCTCAAATGCATCCCATGGACTACTTCATGTGGATGTTCCCACAGGAGCCTTGGCCTTAATGGTTTCCTACACCAACGATGCAATGGAGTCAAGGGGACTTCGCTTGACTACAAGAGATGAAATTTTGAAGTTTTTCGGGGTACTAATCCTTATGATTCAGATTGAATTCAGCACCAGAATGTCTCTTTGCAGCTCACAGGAAACCAGAAAATATCTCCCGCAACATCAATTCGGAAACATCATGTCCCGCAGAAGATTCGAGGAGCTTCGTCAAAATGTCACGTTCAGCTTTCCAGCTGATTCAAATGACAGATGGGGTATGATCAGGGACTCCATGGTTGCAATCAATGATCACAGAGCATCACATGTGATTCCATCACAGAACATCTGCGTTGATGAGAGTATGTCACGCTGGTATGGACTTGGAGGAGATTGGATTGAAACCGGTCTTCCTCATTATGTTGCCATGGACCGAAAACCCGAGAATGGCAGTGAGTTGAAGACTGATGCATGTGGAAAAAGTGGAATCATAATAAGAATTGAGAACGTCTTCTCAGCTGAGGAGACTTCTTTAAAGGATTTTGAAAGTGACCACTTACACGGAACCGCAGTGATTTTGAGGTTTTTACAGCCATGGTTTCACACCTATCGTGTTATCTGCGCGGATTCGTACTTTGCTTCTGTCCACACGGCTGAATCACTTCATGAGAAAGGTATTAGATTTGCAGGTGTGGTGAAGACATCTACCAAGAAATATTCGATGAAATATCTATCTCATCTGGAGATTGCTGAAAAGGGAGAGCACGTCACACTAGTTTCGAAGCCTGTAGCCGGGACTCACCTTATGGTAGTGATTTGGGTGGACCGAGACCGCAAATACTTTATTAATTCTGTCGGAACATCCAAAAAAGGAACTCCAATCTAGTGCGAGAGGTGGCGTACACGTCATGGAGTGACAAGAAAAGAGGAATTGTCTATCCGTATTCCCTCAGTCTGCGAGCAGTATTATGAAACTTGCTCTCAGATTGACCGCGCAACAGATCTCGTCAGGATGATCTCGGCTTGGAAAAGAAGTTCGAAGTCGAGGAGTGGTCTATGCGTATCAACACTTCTTTATTGGCCATTTGCATTGTGGATGCATGGAAACTGTATACAGGTGCAAAAGGAGATGGTTCTAAGATGTCTCCAAATCAGTTTTATTGTGAGCTTGCTGACCAGTTGATTGATAACAAGTACGATCGTATATCGTTACGTAAGCGAGAATCAGACAGTGCTGCTGAGGATGAAGATGTTGGGTTCGGCAGTGGAATTGGTACTCACCTAACTCCAACCACTGGCAAGCGAAAAGCGCATCCGGCGAGGAGACTTGTGCTCTTTATCAATCCAGATGCAATATTTGCAAAGGTACAAAAAAGTCAAAGTCTATTTGCTCAGCCTGCAAGGTATATTTTGACAAAGAGGTATACCTTTGTCATCACCAGACTGGGCGTGACTGTTTTAGGAAACATGTCGACGAACGACACGATCTTACTTACAAAAGGGAAGTACTACTAGTGATTAAGGCGTTCTCGGCCATTAAAACTGACTAAATTGGTCAGCATATGAGTAAAATAGAGCAAAAAGAGATAAAACTGCTTCTGCCCCCTATGGTTCTATCCTGCGTATAAAGACTTGCTTGGAAGACCTCCAGCCGTGTCAGAAGGCCCCTTTATGAGATGTAACCGTATTCAATCTCATGTTCGAGTGGGCGCTATAAAGCGTCCTTGGCTGCAGGTCACGAACAAGAACCATTGAGATCCCCGAAGGGATTTTTCGACCAGTAAAGTGCTCAGCGAGGAGTTGAACCCCGGCTTCTAAGACTCAGCGATCCTTGCAGACCACTGAGCTGGCTTGTGAGCTGGCTTGTCAGTTACTAACTGGTCGTTTATAGTTGTCTTTATAGTCGTTCAAAGTTCTACTTCGTAAAAATTGTGCTCCTTTTGTTCTATACTTGCGAAAAGCTTAAATTTTGTTTAAATTTTACTGTAGAGCATTTGACCTCATATGAGGTCAAGGGTGACTTCATGTGAGGCAAATTGCCGGTCGTCTAGACACTAGAGGGGACAGGAATCTAACACAGGTTTTGCCAATTTGGACACTACAGCATCGACTGTTTCATCCAAGTAGCTGAGGGCCTCGCACATAACCCCTGCTGGCCGCATAATGGAGCACTCGACCTACGCATTTCAATCAACGTTCCTCGGCGCGAACCCTTCACGGTTGCCGTCACTTTCGCCACTGAAACATTGCAAATCGAGTTTCCGCCCAATATGGAGGAGGAATCGGTTCCCGCAATGTTCAATGCGTCCTTATCTGGAGAAGCTTGTGAAACTGGAAAATCTTACGCTAGACGATGCCAGAACCGCTACTGATTACGCAGTGAGTGGTGACGCACATGACGCCGAGATTGCAGCATTTCTGAGTCTTCTCAGCGCTAAAGGGGAGACAGTTGCAGAGGTTTCAGGAATAGTTGCTTCTATGCAGCATCACATGGTGCAAGTTCAAGAGAACCATGACGTCCTTGATATTGTTGGTACTGGTGGCGATGGCGCAAATACGGTCAACATTTCCACAGCCTCGTCGATCGTTGCTGCTGCCGCGGGTTGTCGAGTGGCAAAGCACGGTAACCGCTCTGTCAGCTCGAAAAGCGGCAGTGCCGATGTCTTGGAAGAGCTCGGCGTCCAGCTCTTGCTGTCACCAAAAGGTGTTCTTAACTGTGTCGATGAAGCTGGAATCGGCTTTATGTTTGCACCTAACTTCCACCCGGCCATGAAAATCGTCGGCCCGGTGCGCAAAGCAATGAAGATCCGAACTGTCTTCAATGTCATCGGACCGTTGCTCAACCCATGTCTCGCGAAATGTGCTGTAATTGGTGTGTACGAGTTAAATCTTCTTGATTTGATGGCTGAAGTTCTTATATCAACAGGAGTAAAGAGAGCCGTTGTTGTCCACACTGAAGGGCTAGATGAATATAGTAATACGGGCGTTTCGCAAGTCATTGAGGTGAAGGGTGGCCAAAAGGAGAGATACGCATTTGATCCAAAAGCCGAGCTAGGGATGCCAAAAGCGGAGATTTCAGACTTGAGAGGGGGCGACGCCCGTTACAATGCGGATATCATCAGGCGCGTATTGAGTGGTGAACTGGAAGGCCCTATCACGAATGCGATCGCTCTCAATGCTGGGGTAGGCTGCTATGTCTATGGGGTTGCAGATTCAGTCAAGGAGGGGGTGGACCTTGCAAAAGGCGTGCTGAAAACGGGGAAGCCACTGCATACATTGGAAACATGGGCAGCAGTGTCGCAGTTATCGAAAGACATGTAAAACCTCCTACAGTAGTACCCTCTTCCGTCGTGAACTGGACGAAACTACATATTTTTGACATCGAGCACGCATTTCTACCATATATATGCGACTGAGTACATTCCCGACTTCTCACGACAGCAACTTCTTGTGAAAGGCGCGTTTTCAAAGCAAGGGTTGTACCTCGCAGTGGAACTCACAGTAGATATAGGTTTTGTTTGGCTCCCTAAACCTGCAGGGTAGAGCAACAGAAGGATTTGAATCTCACTGCACATAGATGGGAGATGTGGACGTTGCTCAAGTTCATTGGCTGCGACCCATTCGAGCAATTCTCAGCGAAAGCGCTACCGTGAGAGCTCACTCAATGAGCTATGCTGAACGACTTGAAAAGGCTTGCTTCTCGGACTTCCTGCGTAATTGGCCACTTGGGTAGTTTTGCCTAATATGTCTTGGCTTCAAGGTGTGTCTCATGACTCTTGAAGTCTTGCGAAAAGCGCATCGACATCCGTTATTGACTCCAGAAGAGCTGGCCCGATTCGAATAGGGTCTCCCATTGTGACGAAATTCGTTTTCATGCATTCTGTATAGGCACCGGACGCTCTGTCACAATGCTTCGTATGCCATCGATGCAGCAAGGATGGATCAACAGCTCGAAAAGCGACAAGGTTAGAAGTGTTCCGAATTTTTTCATACTGATAAACATCTTCTGATCCCCAGCCTTGGAATCTTATTTCCGCATCGTCGAAAGCCCCAACAGAATCGAAATCTCCCTTTCTGATGCACACCATTCCAAAACTGGTTTTCCGCCAAAATCCATTGCGTTCAGCTATACTTGGATGTGCGTTGGCGTACGGATATAAACTGTAAAAGACGGGGTAGTATACTTGTGAATCCAGAACCGTATTATGTTTGCAGCGATCGAAAAAGGTTGGAAGGATTATCATGTCGACGTCGCATTGAAACAGTACGGATGTAGGGTCCGGTACAAGTTTCGCAGCTTCTCTCAACGCGACGCCGCGGGAAAATTGGTGGTTAGTATCACCGTCATTTTCATGAATCCAGACTTTATCTGAAACAGTCGCATAATCGTTCCGGAAAACTTCATCCTTAATAGAGCGGACTGCAAGATGGTCATGCCGTCTGTCTCGTAGGATAGAGATGATGAGGATGACGTTGTCATCGTGCTGTGTATATAGTTCCGCAAAATTTTGGAGAAACAACCGTAACCGGTGTTCACGCTCGGAATACGGTAGTAGAATGTATATTGGCGGCGAGACCACTGATACCCGCTTTGACATAAGGCAATTGACTTTGTTCAAAGAGTTCTCGACCAGCAAATTGAACCGGGAAGCATTAGAGCCCGCCCCTCGCTGATTGAAGTTAACTGCAAACTGCAGGCCGCGCAGGCGATCCAAGCGGTGATGGACGTAATTGATATGAATCGTAGATGTGGGGTGTTGATAAGGAACAGGACTGCGGGCAATTTCCCTTGAACGTTGGGAAAGCGTAGAAGCTGCCAGTGCCTGAACTATAGACATATCAAGAGCGAGAGCTCGTCCATATTGAGGAATATTCCACCTCATGTCAGACCACGATGGGAAGACGGCATAATTGGAGAGAATAGTGTCCCAAACGTCTTCTTGAAACCGATTTTCGAAGTCGTTTTCATAGATGCCAGCATCTTTTTCCAACTTCACCAACGGGTCGAACGTCGACAAGGTGCTGACGACTGAGGACGCACATTCAGCAAGGCCGTGCTGATCAGTAAGAGGCTGTAGTGTTCGAATCGTTCGATAGCGAGCCTTCGAACTCCACAGATTTAGGCAAAGTATCATCAGAACAAAGGGCAAACAGAGCACCAACCAATATTTTTTCTCCTCGCCACTGAGCATGCGTCTTCTTAGCCGTCGAAATCCTCTCTTTGAGGGCCCAACCGCGACATTGCCCAGAATGTGACTGCCGAAACGCATGCGTTAACCAAACAGTGTTTTATTGAACAGACATGAGACGACAAAATGGTGATAACACAGGCCTTTTGTGACGCCTGATCGAGAAAAGCTGCAGAAGAAGTCAGCCCTGTGAAACGTTTCACGAGGAGAATGTAGCATTCCAGGTAGTATGTTTTTGTTCTCCAGGTATAATCTGGAGTTTAAACTGTACCCTAACAACAGCGTCGACATGGTGCGTCCACAAGAAATCCGCCTTGGCCTTGGAACTCCTAGGCTTTACGGGCCCAACATGAATTTAGAGGGACAAAGGCGAAATCGCTTAATTCTTGTATGCTCGGGAAGCGCTTCGGAAAAAGGGGCGCACTCCTAGGTCACCTCTTGCTATCTGCATAAAAGCAGAATCAGGGTAAAAACTCATCAACCTTATCCCGTTTGTGCGCTCAATGAAATATGCAAATATGCAAGATGTGAGCTGCAATGGCCCCAATGCGCCTTGCTGCCCAGAGTCTTTCGACAGATGTACAACACGTTCCGTTGCGGTCCCATTGCTTCGCTGGTTGGTGCCTATAACATGATATGGACTTCGTATCAACATCGTCTTCGGGCAAGGGGCAGTTAATTGGACTCAAAGTCAAGGACCTGACGATGACAGTCCATCAGACATCTAAACACATATCAGAACCTACCGTTTGATTCGGTTCGTTGAGGCGTCCTTTAGAGTCAATTTAGGAGCATCTTACGACATCTGAAAATAATTTAGTTGCCACCGCACTGCGTAGAGTGGGTCGGCAGAATATGTTGTTTGCTAAAGTATCGTTCCCTTGCCGAGCGTTAACCCTTCCCCATGTTTGAAGGATAGGACCGTGATGTAGAGTGTTGTACCTCGTCAAATTGCAAAATACTGCTGTTGTAAGTAGTCTGAGATGTCCTTGCCGTCCGTGACCGATATAGGGCTGGCTCGTCAATGAATCCAACATTTGTCTTTGAACGTCTCTCGACCCTTTTGAGCCTTCGTGTTGCCGTAATCAGTCTTGTCTCTGTATCGCGTTAGCCTTGATTAAATCAATAATGTATCCCGACATCACTACGTCACACCTTCCCCCGTCCACGTCCAAACACCTTCAATCGTCCCCCGCCTAACTTGCGGGGCTCTGGGTTATCATTTTCGGCTAACATTTCAATCTGCATATCCCTGACAATGTTCCCTGACCGCAAACCGGCAATCTCCTGGGCTGTGAGCGACAATTTGAGCAAACCGTTAGGTGCCAAATCCGGGCGCAGGTCGTAGCCTTCCTGGACATCCTCTCGTTTTACAAAGTAGTGCCATTGCCATGGGACGGCGGCCTCTTTTCGCTCTTTTCTGAGCTTGCGTTGGTGATCCTCTATTCTTCTCTTTTCTGCGTTCGCCGCAGCGGTGTCACCAGTCTTGATGGCCTCGGAGCATTTCGCCCAGACTCTAGTGCTGAAGGAGTTCTCCTCCTCGTGTGGTGGGGGCAAGACGGCAACCATAGATTTTTCGGCAATGATGGCCTCGTAGTCAAAAAGAGTCTTCTGGGTATTCGTGCGCACATCCATGAGCATGATTTTTTTGTCCCAATGACCATCCATGGTGTGCAAGGTCTCATTATTGGCGAGTTTAAAAATGCGACCTGTAACGCCATTGATGTCGCCACGGAGGGCAAGCGGGCCGCGAGTTTTGTAGTGAATCTCGGCACCGAGGCCACTCTTGGGACAAGAAAAAGACGAGGAGCCGTTAAACTCGAGGCGCTGCTTGCCAGCGAACAAGCCGCTCATGTAAACGTAAGGACGCGTGATGATGTACTCCTCATTGTCGAATTTGGTGAGGACGATGCGAATCTCGCCGCGCAGCTTGACTTCCAGGGTGTTTCCCCAAAACCTGGGCTCCGGGGCGGTGAAGGAATTCATGCGAAAGCCGAGGGTGTCATTTCGCAAATGCAAAGCGGTGATCGGGGGGTGATGGGAGACCTGTTCCGAGACGAGCAAAGTCTCGCCGGCGGCGCCCCTATGCGGGAAGCAGCATCTATAGACCTCTCCCAGGACGGGGTTGTAAGGTTTCTTGCCAAACCTCTCCTTCGCCAGGCCCGAAAAGTTGAAGCGCAGGACGTTGAGAAACCGGGTGTGGGCGTCCTGGGCGGCCGAGATGTCCTGCAGCAGCTCGCCGCGCTGCATGGACTTCTTCGTCTTCTCGAGGGCGGAGACGGGGTCCAGGATGTAGGCCGGCAAGTTGATGTTGGTGACGTCTGCGCCCGGCTTGACCGAGCTGATGACCTCGCGCGCCAGGCGGAAGATGGAGAGCTCGTTGTCTAGCGGCGGGATGGGCGAGGGCAGGGGCTCAATGCGAGAATAGTTGTGCGGGATTTGCGCGGGGAGACCGGCGAGGGACGTGCTGGGAGACGTGAGCGACTCGCGCGCGTCGACAAACTCATCGTCGTCGGACTCGGACGCGACGGCGGGGGGCGGCGCGGCGGCGCGCCGGGCGGTGGCAGCGGCGGTGGCGGCCATTGCGGGAGGGATGGCGGAGAGAGGGGGGGGTAAC